GGCCCTTGGTTCTTAGGTTGCCTACCCCTGCTTAGCATGTGCTCTACCACCAAGCTACAACAGAAGGAGGATCTATCAAGCACCCAGTGGGTATTCATCATACAATTGTTATGGGGGTTGTTGTATAATACAAGTAGTGCATTAAATACATCAAACTCCTGGTAATCCTTACTATGGCAAACACAAAATGGCATTTAAGCATAATATTCATTGCATAATCAAATCTACTATCACAAGGAGATTTCGTTAATACTAAGAAATTCAGGAAAATCCTTGCGATTTGCATTGCCAAGGCAGAAATGGAAAACATTCGGGATTACATATTTCTTTGAGTCAAAAGTGCAGTAATACCAGGGTTAAACAGAGTTCAAAATACTTTCGAATACTGTGAAATAGTTCTCTGTGGAGAGGTAGCTACCCAGTCATATATGTTGCTTACTAAACGCTACAAACCTTAAGCACACTTAATAGAAAACTGCCTTGGAACAGGTGGACAAATAAACCACTTAGAGGTTTTCCTTGTAAACTGTAAATTGCTTGGCGACTTTGCTACAGTCAAGCAGTATATAAATTCTGTTAAACAGTATTCTGACCTCTAAGGAGGCAGCTTGCTATGTTCATAGTATCATAGAATCATAGAGTTGGAAGGGACCCGATCATCTAGTCCAACCCCCTGCTATGCAGAAATAGCTATTTGACTTATTCCTGGAAATTGCTGGATAGTTTGATACTGCTATCGTACTTGTATGATCTGTTCCTATAGGTTGGCTTTACTGTTGATGTGGGATTCAGGTTAGTCTTTATCTGAAGCTGCAATAAAACCAGAATCTCCTTAGGCCATAAAAGCCAGAGACAGATCCAAGATTTTTTTTTTAAAGGAATTAATTGATAAGTTAATTCTCCTTTCTCTCTATTCATACAGCAGTATGGCGGGTCCCCTGAGGTCGTCCCTGGGTTGCAGCAGGTGCAGTTTGGACAAAGAAGTGCTTGAGTCTTTTGTGTGTGGCAACAGATTGGTGCAGTTCCATGAGAATCATCTCCCACCTGAGATCTGGAATATTTTGCATAGGCTCTTGGGGTCTGCTAAGGACAGCTCATTAACCGTACGTCTCATCGCTGAAATGGCACACAACTCCTTTCTTCTGCCATAGAACAGAACTCAATGGAAGTCTGCAGGAACACTTAATGAATTGACTTGTTAATCACCAGGCTTTATTGGGGAAGTAACCTGGTGCCTTTATTACTCAGCAAATCTATTCCCAGCCACACACTTATCTTCTCATGGAGCCAATGTAATTTATGTTAATAGAAGGTTTTCTTTGTTTAAACTAACTCTTATATATGCCTATTAGACTAGGAAGGGTTATGGGGAGAAGAGAAACCCTGGGTGGAAGATTATCGGTTTTTTGCCAGCCATAGAATCACACAGCTGGAGGGAGGGCTTGCAAGCCCTCTAGTCCTGCCCAGCCCCTGCTTGATGCAGGAAATCCAGAGCCTGGCCATCGCAACAAGAGACAGCTGTCCAGCCATGATTCTGGGCCACACAATACCAGCTGGCAACAGTTAATGCCTCACAACAGAACCAGCTGTTCTGTGGAAGAATAATGCATCTTGGACCCTTGATAGGAAGGAACCTGCCTTACACCAAGTCAGACCAATTTTCCATCTAGCTCAGTGTTGTCCACACTGACTGGCAGAAGCTCTTCAGAGTTTCAGATGGGGAACATTCCCAATCCTATCTGGAGATGCCAGAGACTGAACCTGGGACCTTCTGGAAGGAGCAAACACACTTAGTCCATGCTATATTCCCCAAATCAAGCAAGAACCAATGCCGTTCTTACTGCCAATGTGCCATTGTCTACTCTAAGAGTAGTACTGCTAACTCCTCAAAATTACCCAATAAATGTGCAAGATATGTGCAAATTTGTGCATGGTTGCACTCACAGATCTAGTAATCATCACCCTATTGTTGTGTGTGTGTTTTTTACCTGAATGTCCTTTAAAAAAAACCACAACGGAGCAATTGCTAGTATGAATGCAAACTCAAGTCTCTGTCACTGACAAGGCAAAAGGGGGCAGACAGGGAGGAAAGAGAAGTGAGTCAGCCCAACCTATTTCATCTTCATGGAAGAGCCTGCTGGATCAGACCAATGTCCCATCTAGTCCGGCATCCTGTTCTCCCACCAGCCACCCAGATGCCTGTGGAATCACTCAAGGGGGACCTGAGCACAAGAACCCTCTCCTCTCTTGTGGTATTCAGAAGCAGGACTGCCTCTAAACGTGAAGAGAGAGCATGGCCATCATGATTAGTAGCCATGGATAGCTTTATCCTCCATGAATTTGTCTAATCCTCTTTTAAAGCCATCCATCTTCCTCACCCCAGTTCAGCATCTTAGCCTCTGCCTTCGCCTCTTGAGAAAGGGAGTGGTGCAGGTTCCATGCCCTCCTAGGCCTTTCCATTCCTCAAAGTGAGGACCCTACGTACAGACAACATACTGGGGCCCAGAAGCGCACAGCTCCACACGCAGCATTGCAGAAGCAGGATTGCTCCCATAGGATGAAGGGAGTTACCAAAATGCTAAAGGTGATTCATTATAATGTAATGTAAATCATCGTCGTCGTCTTCATCATCATTATCCCCTTCCCCCCCAAAAGTCATAGTTCTTGAATTTCAGGTGGGTAACGATGGCGTACACAGACAGCTTCGATTGATTCATTGCGTTTAAAATTTTAATTCGTAGTTGCTGAGGCGCTTCACCTTGATGTAAAGCAAAACAAGGTCCTGAAGACTTTCACATTAATGTATTAATAGATAACAGGTTCCATCTACAGTAAAGACTGGCACAGATTCAAGCGCACTCAAGCCATCAGATTGTGATGCTTTCACTGGCTGACCTGTTCTGACAGCTCCTACCTAAGGCTGCCTCAGAGAGCTAGGAAGGCTTTAATCACCTCTCTGATTTTATTTCACCCGTCATATATATATATGGTTCGCTCTACCTTTCCTTCATTGAAATGGCACACTCCGCCTCCCCCTGATGAAAGCCCCGTCCCCTCGCCTGACCTTCACATATTTAGCAGAAAGGTCTACAGGGAAATTCTAACGGCATATAGTTCTGGTCGGCTGACCTCGAAAACGGATATTATGGAGCTGGAAAAGGTTCCTAAAAGGGCAACCAAAATGGTCCAGGGGTTGGGTTGCAGCAACTCCCCTCCGAGGGAAGGTTGCAATAATTGGAGCATTTCAGTTTAGGTGAATAACGACATGATGGAGTCATATAAAACTATGCAGTGTGTGTGGAAAGAGGCAAGTTTTTCTCCGTTTCTCAAAATACAACAAAGCTGAATGTTGGGAGATTCAGGACAGACAAAAGTAAGTACTTCTTCACAAGCACTTCACAAGAATTAGGGAATTTGCTACAATGGAACTTTGGTTTTCGAATGTAATCCATTCTGGAAGACCGTTCGATTTCTGAAACGTTAAAAAACGAGGAGCAATGGGCACTCAGCAAAATCCACCGAGAAAGCGTGTTCTCCTTCATGGAGAGCACGTGTTGCTGTGGGGTCTAACAGGACACCCCCTCTTGGTTGATGGGTGGGATTGTTTAAATGTCCAGGATTGTGATTGGCTATTCTGGGTTGTTGGGCAAATTATGATGTTGCCAATTTGTGGGATGGCCTGAGGGTTTATATGCTTGGCACATAGCATTTAACGTTCCCTTTTGCTGCGTGCATCGGATCACCCTCCCACCCTCCCTAAGTTAGGGCTTGTGTGTCTGATCTTGCTATGCCTGTTATGGGGTCGTCTGCTTTGGGGGCAGGGGCCTGGTAGGAATTTTGTCCATTTGGCTGATTGGCTGGTGCCATTTGGTTTTTGCCTACTGCGTAGCAAATCGTCACAACTTGCAAGCTTGCAGTTAGGCATTGGTTAAAACTGGTTGGTGGAGGGGTAAGGATTGGCTGTGCCTGCCCATCCAATGCTGCTGCTGCAAGGGAATTCTGTTAAAGGAATCCAGGGGCTTGCCATGCTTCTGTCCAAATCCCTGGTAAGGGGCTTGGGCCGTTCAAGCCCCTGGGAGCATGCGGGGAGAGGTGAGGGTCTGGCACCCCAAATGTTTTCCCTTACTGACTTTCACAGGGTTGTGGAAGTCAGTTCTGTCCCTGGGTGGAGACAGATAGTCGTAACCAATGCCTAAGCAACCACTCACATTATGTATTTTAATAAAGTTGTGGCCAAAATTATGCCAAAAACCTTAAACAAAAATTCTGTGTGAATTGTGATTTATTTAGGGGGTGGCTTGGGGACCTCAACATGCAAAAAAGAAAAACACGCAGCGGAAGCCGTTTGACTTCCGAGGCGCGTTCGAAAATGGAAGCAATTACTTCCAGGTTTTTGGTGTTCAGCTTCCGAAACGTTTGGCGTCCAAGATGCTTGAAAATAGAGGTTCCACTGTAAGCTCAGAATGCAACGATGGCCACTTCTGGGGTAGAGAACATGACAGGGATAATCAGATGATGATTGATGATAGCAGACATAAGTCTCAGCTATCGAGTTCACTCCGGAAAACAAGTGAACAGGGGATTAACCTCTGGTGCTCTGATAAAGCAGTTTTCTGCCTTAAGAGAGTTCTGATGGGGTTAAGCAACTTGAGAGCTGAGGAATCAACATCTCGCTCAAAAGCCACATTAAGAGCCCTATGTGGGCCCTATATGTGCCTGGGATCTGCAAAAGCCTCCCTTTCTTAATTATTTCTGGGACGGTTATGATTTACAACTGAGAAAGATTTCTCCATCTGCCAGAAATTTCCATTCAGTGTGAGAGCTGCATTTCTGGCTTCAAGAAGAAGGGAAGGGAAGTCGATTGTTAAAGGGTTGGAGGCAGAACAAAAAGCCGGTTTTATGGTTTGAGACAAAGAAAGTTTTAAACAAACAAGGGAGTTTTGTGTTTTCTTTTCTATTTCTTTCTCTGTTTTTTTTTTACTAGTTTCTTTTATCTTATTGTAATACACACACACACACACACACACACATATATATGCTTTAATAAAATATTATGGGGAGAATGTAGTGATGGCCACCAGACAAATGAATGCAGGGCCAGACTTCCAATGGCTACTAGCCATGATACCAGCCACTTTGAGAATAGGATGCCGGATGCTGGGCTAGATGACCCTTTGACTTGATCCAGTAGGGCTCTTATGTTCTTATTCAGTTGAACATGGTTAAAATCTTCATGTGGACTGGAACCTTGACTGCACAAGATTCCAGTCAAGGGGAGGATTCAAACTTTGTTAAGCTGAGTGTGACTTGGGTTCTTACCCTGCCAAATAAAATTAGAAAGCTCCCTTTGCCAGCCTTTAAAACAATTTGTACCAATAATTATTGGGACTGTCTGAAAAAGAAAGAGCATTTTAGGAAGAATTGACATTTTTATCAAGGATATCCTTCCCTATAGAGACAATTTATCTAAATATCCTTTAATTTCCTTCCACTTCTTATACAAATTTGTGTTTTTATTTGTAATCCAGATCCTGTTCTAGGTCTTCAGACATCTGTATATATAACCCTCATCTCAAAACATTCACAGCCTTTACAATCCCGGCTTACAGCACAAATAAAAAGTTGGATTGAAATGAATGCAGAGATCATATCATAATAAAGCCAATGCCAAAGCGTCAGAGTGTTTATGGTGATTTAATAAAAGTTCGCTTGAGTCTGTTAGGTAATAAGATCACTGGAATTTGATCAGGGTCATATGCTGCTGCATCAGGCGAAAGACAGATGGTGTCCTCTCTCACCTAATTCCACTTCTGGAAACCAACCAGACTGCCAGTTGAATCTGATTTCAACACTGGTGACAGGACAGCAGGCTAGTTTAGGGAGTGTAAAGCCGTCTCTGTGACACATGCAATTCTTACGTCATTCCTCACCCCGCACCCCAGCATCCATTTAGGGCTGGCCCTGAACGTCATATTAAAACTCACAACACAACCCGGATCATTTCCATCGGAACATTTCCATTGTTCTTACAGATTGTTGATTTGCACACAGAATAAAAATGTGTCAAGAAGAAAATCGTGTTTAGGTTACAAAGCATATCATTATTCAATGTTTGTTAGTAGAGCATTAACCTCTTAAAGCGACACATTTGCAGCCTGATTGCTGAATGAATTACTTGTGTGAATATGTGTTTAGAAAAGATAATAAAACCTTATCGCAAAAGAGACCCACAAATTACAATGGAGTGCTATTTTAGTTAAGTACTCAATCTGCCTTTTGCTTTCTGAACTCATGGTGGTGCTAGATTCCAAGTCATTTCTTGAACGATTAAATGGAAAAGTTTCCACCTGAACATCCATCAGCTCTGGCTTCTTTCCTGGGGCTGATGGGAGTTGGAGTCCCAACAACATCTGGAAGGCCATAGGTTTTCCCCATCCTCGAATTAAGCAGTCATTGCTCTCCCTTCCCTCTCCCCACCCGAAATAAAAACATACTGACAACCCACAGTGTGAAGCTTCAGATCGGCTCCAGAGATACAGCCGCTAGAGCCACATGTTATATAAACCTAAAAATGTCAAACGAAGATCAACAGAGCAGTTTTGTATCTCAAGCAGAGCTTCAGGCTTGCTTTTTAAAAAATGGCCAGCCTTTTCCTGCTTGCAAGTAAAGGTTTTAAATATTTATGTCTCTCCTTCCTGTGCTTTTGATCCTTTGTTGCTGATTAGGTGGAATCATAACAGCTTCAGAATAAGAAATAAAGTGCAAGTGGAAAATATACCATTAATGTGGGCTCTGCATCAAGGAACAAAACACTCGCTAATGTTCTGCTGCAGAAAATATAGTGGGGGAAATGATGAAAGGTGTTCATTTTGAGTTTATTGTAATTATTACCTTCTGTGAAATTTATCTCCAGGTATAGAAATAGACCTGAAGAGACTCACCATCTGAAAACCTAGAGAGCTGTTGCCTATTAATGTAGACATGGTCTGATTCAGTATGATGCAACTTGATATGCTTCTTCCTAACTGGAGCATAAGGTTCTTAATCTCAGGGTGATGGGTTTGAGCCCCACATTGGGCAAAATATTCTTGCATTGCAGGGGGTTGGACTAGATGACCCATGTTGTCCCTTCCAACTCTATGATTCTATGTTTCCTAATTGTTCTGCAATAGTATCTTTAAAAAACAACAACTGTTGGAATGAAGTACAAACATCAACTAACATAATGTTAAAATGCCTTGACTTCCTTTTCCTCTTTAAGGTATTTGCAAAAACGTAGACAAAACCATTGAGCTCTCAATATGCAAAATAATAAATACAAAGTTCTGATAGACATCTCATCTTACAGGGGATAGCTAATTTTCTAATCCGTGTACCAGCCAACACCTATTTTTCTCTGAGGCAGTAGCACACATTTGAATATCAGGTGCTGCGAACATCAACTACCACAGTATCCTCAGATTGGCAAGCCAAGTCTATGATAAAACATATTTATCTATTTACTGTAGCAGACCCTCCAAGTGTCCCTATTTTCCAGGGACAACACTGATTTAGAGAAGCCCTCCTGCTTTCTGATTTAATACCGGAATGTCCCGCTTTTCCTTAGGATGTCCCTATTTTCATTGGAGAAATGCTGGAGGGTATGAAGTTATCTGACCCCTGGGCTGTCTGAAGGCAATCCTGTATAGGGAAGTTTTTTAACGTTAAATGTTTTACTATGTTTTTATATATGTTGGAAGCTGCCCAGAGTGGCTGGGGCAACCCAGTAAGATGTGCGGCGTATAAATAGTAAAATCATGGAATGGGATGTCCCTATCTTCATTGGAGAAATGTTGGAGGGTATGCTATATACAACTAGGTCCATCTGACTTCAAAAACAAGGATTATAATCCATGAAAAAATTATTCTCTGTAAACCCAATTGAAAGAAATTTGTTATGTAAATACTGTGCCTAATTCCAACAGAACCTGTCCAGGAAATAGTGCCTTGAAAACTAAGAGCTTTGGACATCTTTAGCATCAACTGGAGAGAAGATTCATATCCTATTTCTCTCTCTACCCACAAGCAGACTCCTGTTCATGGCCAGTGCTTTACTCATTAGCAGGCCTTGCTCCAGGTAAAGGGGCCTAGCTAACAGGAAGAGCTGATTGTCCACTTCTTCCATGGTGGTTCCTCATTATCTCAGTAGTGCTCCAAAATCTGTGAATGGCTGAACATGCCGTGAGAGTTTCTCAGTTTGTCATTGCATTCTCACCGCAATGACAGGTGAGACACATCCTCAGAATGTGAAAAATTTGAGGTTGCTCTCTAGATTCAGGTACGGTATGCAAAATCTGTAGCCTTAATTTCCTTAGTAGACTGAAGGGTCTTCTAGTGTTTCGCTAAAGCAGACCGGTATTACATTGGAATGCACAGAGAGGCCCCCGAAGACCCCAACACTGTCTCCAAGTACTCCTCACCCATGGAGGTCTCCTTCTATAGAAGACAGGTTTTGATACAGCCCTCGTATTTGGGGAAGGATCATTGCTTTGACATAGTGCATCTCTTTTGCACACAGAAGAAGATCCCAGGTTAAGTCCCCAGCATCTGTGGGTAGGCAGGGAACACCCCCTGAAAGCCTGGTGTTCCACTGCCAGGAATGGTATACAATCCTGAGCCAGGCATCCCAATAGTCTAATTTGGTATAAGGTAGTTCCTGTTTTCCTTCACATTTTGTCAGGGTTCATGCAGCTGCTACATCATCAGTGTCAGGAAGAAAGACAGAAACAAGAAAATGGCTCCAGAAAAGTAGTATCTTTCTTCCCACATACACACACCTTTTCATTCTTGGCATCTTCCAAAAGAAGCATAATTAGGTGCTAATTTGTCACACACTGAAGCTGAAAGAAAACAATCATTTATGTAAATGGACTTGAGCAGGATGCTGAATTTCACACAGTTTAACTGGTGTCTTTGGATGTTGCTTAGCGGCTCTGTTGAAAACAACCCACAGGGAGAATGGGCAGTATGGCAGGCCTGTTAGTGTCACCAAAAAGGGGATGTGGATTTGCATAAAATCACCCGCACAGATTCTTTTAGAAGCAATAACTTTAACTTAAACAAAAAGGTATCCCAGCAGAATACAATACATTTCCCTTGGGAGGTGGTGGACTCTCCTTCCTTGGAAGTTCTTAAGCAGAGGTTGGATAGCCATCTGTTGTGACTGCTTTAGCTGAGGCTCCTGCATTGCAGGGGTCTGGACTAGAGGACCCTTGGGTCCTCTAGTCTACAATTCTATGATTCTATGATGATGATGATTAATATCCCGCCCTCCCCAGCCAGAGCCAGGCTCAGGGCGGCTAACACCAATAAAATCAGAGTAAAAACGTAATGGGGGACAGGACCAATTTAAAATACAGGTTAAAATGCAATTTAAAATGCAGCCTCATTTTAAAAGTAGCCGATAGGTCAAGACCATAAGGGGAGGGAAACATAAGGGTCAGACTGAGTCCAAACCAAAGGCCAGGCGGAACAGCTCTGTCTTGCAGGCCCTGCGGAAAGATGTCGAGTCCCGCAGGGTCCTAGTCTCTTGTGACAGAGCGTTCCACCAAGACGGGGCCAGTACTGAAAAGGCCCTGGCCCTAGTTGAGACCAATCTAACCACCTTGCGACCTGGGACCTCCCAAATGTTGTCATTTCTGGACCTTAAGGTCCTCTGAGGATCATAGTGGGGAACAAGACTTTGACCAGGTAAGCTGTGTACCTGCCTGCTCAGTTTGCCATGTGCTAACTTATGGTTGGGTGACTTCCATGCCCATGCTCCCCCTCCTTATGTCTTTTAATCTTTAAACCATATTTGGACTGCATAGCCCAAATATAAGACACAGGGAGACAGGAAGCTGCCTTATACTGAGCAAGACTCCTGATCCATCTAGATCAGTATTGTTTACACTGACTGGCAGTGGCTCTCCATGGTTTCAGATAGGGTTCTCTCCCAGCCCTACCTGGAGATGCCAGGGATTGAACCTGCAACCCTTTGCATGCAAAGCAGATGCTCTACCACCGAGCTATGGCCCTTCACAGGACTGTCTTCTATACAATAGGACACATGGCCATCCTAGTAGGCAGACGGGTACATGATGCCAGCCTCAAACCACCTTTTCTAGGCCTTGCGCCTTGGCCCACCTTCCTTCCCCTTGGCTGCTATGCTCTGGAAGAAGTTGCTTTGATTCCCTCAAGCTAAGAAAGCAAACTTTAGTCAGGGCTGTTGCAAACCTTCCCCTGTGGCTCAGGGCTTCTTCCGTGGGGGGTTTGGAAGTTTACTTAGATCAATTTAAATTGCACTCATTGTGGGCATTCCAAGACGCCAATGAGGCAAAAATTTGCAAAATTCTACTTCAAGCTCGAATCTCTGTTTCCACACAGAAGCGTACCGTGACATCTTCCTGCCTATGAGTCAATGTCTACAGCAGCATGGAAAAGCTCACAAATAGTCATCCGATTCTCCTTACATTGCTAGAACCACAAGCTACATGAACAGCAGCACTAACAGCCTTGTGACTTGGCAGAGAAGGGAGCTAGCATTTAATGCTCAAAATAATTAGAAGGTATGTGGATGGGGACACTTGTCAAGCACCAGTTCCTGTACATATTTTAAGTTAGTTTCAGGAGCACTATGTTAGCACTGGTAAATGGGGTCAGAGAATTGTTTCCTCTTGGAAACAACCCAATCATTTGCTTATTTCATTTGTTGCATGCATATCCTATCTTTCTTCCAAGTTGCTCAGAGGAGCACTTCAGCCCAACAGCAACCATGCAAGGTAGATTTAAATGTGCCTTGCCGAGGCCACCTTGTACTTGCAAGCTTCATGGCTCAGCAGGGATTTGAACCTGAGCTTACCGTTTGTAGGCCTGGCGTGATTTACCTCATGCAAATCATTCAGCTACAGCTGCCATGATTGCTGTCTAAAGAACCAAGCTTTCTACAGGAGCAGAAGTTGCATTGTGAAGAAGAAAGAGGACATCTAGCGATCAGAGAGGAAATTGCAGCCATGTATTTCTAGAGGCCTCAAACTGAATTGGAATAAGACTATTTCTGATGCTTCTGTATCATCAGCCAGTGATACAGTAGATTAGGAGGGACAAAGCACTTCCACTTACGGTACTAACTTACTACAGTACTTACTTGTTCATTTATTTAGATCCCGCCTATCTCCCACAACCAGGACTCAAGGTGGCTCACAAAAATTAAAACAAACACTGATAGAACACAGAGAGCTGAAAGCATATAAAAGATAATAGAATCACAGGAGTCGGAAGGAACCTTGAAGAACATCTACTCCAAACCCCCCGCAATGCAGGAATATGCAGCTGTCCCATATGGGGATCAGACCTGCAACCTTGGTGTTAAGCTGAGTAGTTAATGTCACAAAACAGTGTGCAAGCTATTTGATCAGACTGATCATTAAGCAAGGGGGAGGGGTGGTGAAAAAAGCTGGTTTGCTATCAGGACTATAATTTCATCATTAGTAAAAAAACCAAAAACATTTTTGCTGTATAGTTTTAGAAGGGACGCGGGTGGTGCTGGGGTTAAACCACAGAGCCTAGCACTTGCTGATCAGAAGGTCGGCAGTTCGAATCCCTGCGACGGAGTGAGCTTCCGTTGCTCGGTCCCTGCTCCTGCCAACCTAGCAGTTCAAAAGCACGTGAAAGTGCAAGTAGATAAATAGGTACTGCTCCAGCGGGAAGGTAAACGGCCTTTCCGTGCGCTGCTCTGGTTTGCCAGAAGCGGCTTAGTCATGCTGGCCACATGACCCGGAAGCTGTACGCCGGCTCCCTCGGCCAATAAAGCAAGATGAGCGCTGCAACCCCAGAGTCGGCCATGACTGGACCTAATGGTCAGGGGTCCCTTTACCTTTACCTTAGAAGGATCATAGCTATTAGGGGAAGAGCTATGGGAGTTGCCATAAAGTGTACCTGCCCTTCAGAATTTACCACTATGCTACTGTATGCGTATTCTCAAATTATGTGTGTCTGTGGCAGGGCGAATGCTTAATGAAATCCACAAAGAAAACCAAATTTAGAAACTTATTTGAGATTGTGTGGAAGGCAGATGTGAGTTTTTGGTTTTTTTGGTTTTTTGTTTTGTTTTGCCCTTGTTCCGTCCACTTTTGCCCCTGGGCCTGCTCAACATGGTCATGTGTCCCCTGGAAGATTGCCCAAGTATGGTCTTCAAGCTCAAAAAGGTTCCGTACCCCTTGCTTTATACAAACACACACACACAAGATCAAACACAACACATAATTCTGGGATGCATAAGGAATTTGTAAGATGGGCAAGATATATCCCAAACCTCCACAAAACTCAATTGTCTTCCAGTTTTCATTATACCATCCTGAGATCTACGGATGAAGGGGGCTAAACAAATGCAATTAATTAATTAATTAATTAATTAATTAATAATACGTGTCCAATCACACTTTGGTCATAGAGCTCTTTTAAAGAACAATGCACTTTACACTCTACATCATCTAATGGCTTGGACGCAAGAATATGAAAGACACAGGCAGCCATGTTTTTATTTTTCTAGAAGAGACTCCTTACATCTCATTATTGTCACCAGGACAGCCTATGGAAAAGAAGGCTAAATGGAGTCTAGGCAGTCTACATTGGGACTTAAACAAGGCAGAGCAGAAATGATGTACTGGTAGACCAGAGCACCTAAACTTTGATTAAAAACCAGGACATTTTTTGACAGACTACCAAGACAGCAAAGGGCCTATAAATAAGCACAGTAGTTTTCACCACAAGGAATGTGAGTTTGGCACTGTGAATATTAAAACCAAAGACTCTTCAAAGAGAATGAAGTTACTAACTATAGCTTAATTTGATACATGTAATTAGGGATCAGCTTATCCAGCACTACAAATTTCAGTCTTTCTGGATCTCTGGCTATTCAAATAGCGTAATGTTACATCGTTCAGATAAATAGCAATCATGCAGATGGTTTTCAAAAAACCCTGCCTGCACAAAAGGACTTCAAGCTCTTCCAATAATAGCACATAAAGGAATCTAAAAAAGCAACCCTTTCCTACCCAGCCTCCTGCAAGGCAGAAGACTGTTTCAAAGGAGAAAGCACCACAAAATGAGTTGCAAGCTACAGTTATACAGTTCTCTTGGTTAAACACAACCAAACATACAATTCAAGAGCTGACCTTTGTGCATGTCTAAGAGTCACTTTTTGGCTATTCTTGCCCAACAGCTTTCGCCTGTTAACTGATGGAAATTGATTCAAATCCTCAAGGTAGCAGAAAATGTTGTCCGGCAGAGAGATGTGTTCAATTCAAACGACTTACCCCAAAATGTATTGTTTGTAATGGTACTTACCTATAAAAAGAAACAAAAATAAAATATGTAAGTGGTAAGCAAAACAGTCTTCAGGATACAGTACTAACACTGCACATTAGATGAAAATGTAATATTTACATTCAGAGCTTTCAATGGATTATAAACTATTCAAATACACATTTAGCCATGAAGGATAGCCAGGTGTTCAGTTCTATGCTCAGTTTGTCCCAGTCTGCACACCACTGCCGTGCAAACCATAGCTCATGGCTGCTTACACATTGCTCCTCCTGTTACAAGACGGGGAGCAATAAACCACAACCTCAGCATTGCCCCTGAACCTGGGATCGTGGTTTTTTGTTTCACTCAAATAAACCATCAGACAGTAGCTGGGTGGTGGCTGTCCGATTTATGTTTTCTAACTCAAGTATGGTCCATGTAATCAGAAAAAGGTAAACAGAATAGCACGAAATGGAATGTGGAGCAGCACTGTTGAGATGGACATAAATAGAAATTTCTCTATCCAGTCCCACAGTCTCGCAGCATTTCAAGTAATTATGCAAACAAAACAGTTGGGCCTTGCACAGAAAACTTCAAATTGAAGTACGGCTGCAGAAGGACCACCTTCTTTTTCCTGGAAGGGAAGAGGAGGCTAACGATTTGAAGCTGGAAAAGTTCATGAAAGGGCAGCCAAATGGATTGAGGGGGTGAAAGAAACTCATATGGCTTTTTAGAGAAGAGGAGAGCAAGGAAGAAGCAAGACAGAGGTGTATAAGATTAAGCATGGTAGGGAGCAAGTGGGTAGAGAAAGGTCTTTCTCTTGTGCTAATAAACTAGAACTACTGAACATCCAATGAAGCTAAATGTTGGCAGATTCAGGACAGACAACAGGACTTCTTCCCATAGGCATCTGGCTGCACACTGTGAGAGCAGGATGCTGGACTAGATAGGCCATTGGCCTGATCCAGCAGCTCTTCTTACGCTCTTAACCAGCATCTTCTTTTAAACTAGACGTTGGGTGGGAGATCTGTAGAGATGATCTACTGGGAGGGTTGTTGCTGTTTTTAAAATGGTAATAGCAAATGCACAGTCTTGATTTGAACTTTTTCACCCACATCATTTCCTCCTGTTTAAATCTCTCCTGAAGTTGCTTAACCAAATTCAGAGAAAATTTGCTCCATGGGAAAAATAGCAGCATCTGGGGAGTGGTGAGGAAATGATGTGCATGGAAAGGGTTAAGACCCCCCCTGGTGCGCCCCTCCCCAAACACACACCCCACCCATGCCATGGATTTGATCTGAATTGCTCGGCCCACACTGCTATTAAAATAATCATTTTTGAAAGACCTCAAGAAATCCTGTTAATGGATCTTCTGTGTCATGCCTAGTTCACAACAAATAAGTTCTCTTTGGTAGGAGTAGCCCCGTAGACTGAGAAGCAGTAGATGCTGTCAGCAAGGAAGAACCCGTGACTCATTTTGAAACATGGTAGTTTTGTTTCTAGATTTTATAAAATCCCATAAAGTATAATGGTTGGAGAAGGGAGGCGTATTGTGACTAAAGGATAGCAACACTCTAGTTACATTTGAGTCAGATGAGAAATCTGAGTCAAAATACAGAATACAAACTAAAATTTCCCTGATGCAAATGGGTTCACATACAAATACGGAAGGTGATGATGATGAGAATGATGATGCAGCAATCCTAGATATGATTCCTTGGGAGAAGTGAACTACTGAACCTAGTGATTTTAATAGGACTTCTCTTTCTTTTTTTCTTTCTTTCTTTCTCCCTCCTGTCCTCACTTTTTCTTTCTTTCTGGCAGAGAAATGCACTGGAAAGTGTGTGCTAGAAGCTTTGACTGCAGTGTCATCTAATCTCTGCATAAGCAAATCAGGGTAAATGCTCAGTTAACAGGTTGCCTGGAAGTGACCTTACAATGAAGATGTAAACCTTTTCACATTCACAAACCCAGCCAGATGGGCGGGGTATAAATAATAAATTATTATTATTATTATTATTATTATTATTATTATTATTCCATCAGAGGCCCAGGTGAAGAGAAAAGCCTTAGCCTGGCGCTGATGTGGAAGAGCCAGCCAATGACGTGCAGAGAGCTGTATTCATGTTATATGTGACTGGCAATATCTTCCTTCATCAGCTGGAGCTGTGGACTGATAGTTGCACAATCTTAATTGGAAAAGTTAAATGTGTAATGACTAAGCCAACGGGGATGAGAGCAGATCATTATTGCACATGCAGGCTGTTGCTCAATGCAACTGATTTACGCTGCATCCTACTCTGACGCAAGTGCCTAATGTCTATCTGGGGAAAATGACTTGCAGGTACGTTTAAGTCGTTTCACACCATTTTCAATACTGTGTTTTAATACTAATGATGTTTCTACTTGTTGTAACTCGCCTGGGACCTTAGGGCAGGCATGTCCAAAGTCCGGCCCGGGGGCCTGCCCATATAGTGCACACACAAACACACACACACCCCAGCCATCAACACTGGTAGTTTAATAATAATAATAATATTTTTATTTTTTTTAATACTGAGGCATCTGATCAAGGCCTGTATTTTAAAATGAGCTTAAAGATATATTTGCAAATGTTTGTATGTTTCATGCCAGGCAGAAACCAGCTGGCTAAGTACTTTGGCAGTTGTTTATCTTCTTGCTCTCCTGAACAAGCCCCCCCCCCCCCCCCCGATTTATAGCAGAAGCAGGAGACAAGTTTCTCAAAGTTGTAAAAGGGAATTACAGGCTGGGAGCAAATGTTACACTGACCCTACATATTACAGAATACAATCAAGCTGCAAAAACACTAATTAAGAGTTGGTAAATAGTAAGATTTATTGTTTAACAGAAAATAGTACCATGTGCCTCCCATCAGACTCTAGCCATATTTTCCTAAGGTTTAAGGTATACTGAGAGAGTTAAAGGGCAATAAATTTTGGGAAGAGCTAATGGGAAAAGCAGCTGGCTGGGAAAGGAGGGGTGTAAACTGAAGAGGCTTCTTTTGAAGCTATTTTTACTGAGTTCCTTTTTACTTTGCAAAGGCCTTTTCTTCTAAAAAGCTATCTATGTTATGTATGAGATTTGTTGGCTTAATGTAATTATGCAAAGGATTTAGAAAGTAAGAAATGTTAGATTCTTATGTTAGATTCTTATTTCATTGATGGTGTGTGAGAATGTGAACCCAAGATCTCTGTTTAGATAGAATTTAATACCATGAGCCATTTGTTTTAACCATTTATTTTGGAATGCAGGGGCAACAGGGGCAAAAGGTGATCTGGTATTTAAGGTGCCTTGTCGAGGCAAATGTAAGATATATGGCTACTTGTCTGCCATTTATGGATACAAGGAAATATAGCTCTTTGTCTCCCATAAAAGGTAATAGGAAATGGGTGTATCTTTTATGATTGGTTCTAGCAAACAGCCAATAGGAATTTCAACCAGGCTGATTGGACAGAGGCAGCCAAAGGAGGAGCAAGGGGGCTGGGCTGAGGAAATATAAGTGCTGGCCATCAGGACTGGAGGGGGGGCAGAGCTTTGGTAACCATATACCACTGTGCCTATCATTTATTTGTCTGACAAATAAATTATTATTTTAATTTCTCTATTGCTGCGTTGAATATTTCATCCCAGCTAAGCGTTAACCACAAGCAGGGTGCTACAGTACCCCGCCCTCCCCAGCCAAGGCCGGGCTCAGAGCGGCTTACAAGCAATAATAAAAACAAGTTGAATGATTACAACTTAAAAACAAAATTAAAATGCAACATTAAAATATTGAAACATTAAAATATTAAAATGTAGCCTCATCGCAGGAGAAGAAGGAAAAGAAAAAAGAGAGAGAGGGAGGGAATCAAGCTGGCTCCAAGCCAAAGGCCAGGCGGAACAACTCTGTCTTACAGGCCCTGGGGAAAAAAAATCTGATCCTTCAGGGCCCTGGTCTCATGAGGCAGAGCGTTCCACCAGGCCGGAGCCAGAGTTGAAAAGGCCCTGGCTCTGGTTGAAGCTAATCTAACTTCCTTAGGGCCCGGGACCACTAGGGTGTTGCTATTTATGGACCTTGAGGCTCTCCGTGGGGCATACCAGGAGAGGCGGTCACATAGGTAGGAGGGTCCTAAGCCGTGAAGGGCTTTAAAGGTCAAAAGCAGCACCTTAAATATGACCCTGTACTCCACTGGGAGCCAGTGCAGCTTGAAAAGCACTGGGTGAATATGCTCCCATGGCAGAGACCCTGTGAGGAGCCTCGCTGCAGCATTCTGCACCCGCTGGAGTTTCTGGGACAGCTTCAAGGGCAGCCCCGCGTAGAGCGAATTACAGTAGTCAAGCCTGGAGATGACTGTCGCATGGATCACTGTGGAGTTTAGAGTAGC